CCAGACACAGCTAGAGACAAGCCGAGAGGCTCGCTCTCCCTCTCGACTGACAGGCTTCCCAAACCTAGGAGGCATCAAAAATAAATAAAAAATAAAATATAAACTGCCAACCCACCTGCCCGGAGTCCATCAGCGCCGACGCCACCCGGAGGGAGACCCCGCGGGCTGCGGGCTCGGTGGGGTCCCGGGGGCGTCCTGCCCCGAGGCAGCTGTGCTCAGGACACGGAACCCCCGCGGTGGCCACGCCTGGCGCCCATCCGGCCGTCCAGGAACGCCGCTAGGCTCTCCACAACCGTGCACCCACCACACCGGCGCGGGACGATGACGTCGCAGCGCGGAGACACTAAGCCCCGCCCGCTGCTCCTGGACCTGCCAGGAGGCGCCCTATACCGGGCCATGACTCGTGTGCTGTGCCTTCTGGGTAATGTAGTTCTTTCTCTGCTGGCGCCCACCCCTCAAAAGGAGTGTATGGGTTTTTTTTCTCACGACCGACGGGGGCGCCCTATACGGGGCCATGACGCGTGTGCTGTGCCTTCTGGGTAATGTAGTTCTTTCTCTGCTGGCTCCCACCCCTCAAGAGGAGTGTTGTTTTAAGATTTTATTAACAATCAAAAACACTTTGCACTTACATAGGAAAAGAAGTGCTTCTTTGAGCAATAATTAAATGGAAACTACCCAGGACCTTCTAGACTTTTCAGCAGGTACCAGATACGATGTTCAGATGTTCGGATGCGCTTTGCTGGAACCTATTTAAAAATTTACCAAACAGCTTTCCTAATAGTTTAACTGAAATTACAACAGGGGAAAAAAAAGCCAGTGTTTATACTTAGTTTTATATATAGCTCACACACAAAATGAATCAGTCCCGATTGTTTGGCTTAGATACTTTTTTATAAAGGAGTGCTGTTTTCTTAAAATAGGCTACAGCCCCAGCTTAGACATAACTATTGCTATCGTTTATATTATTTGAAATTGTTTTAATTTTGGAGACAGCCTCCTCGATAAGCTGGTCCAGTTGGCCTTGAAAATCGTCCTGCCTCAGTCTCCTGAATACTTGAGATTGTAGGCATGGGTCACCCACCGGGCGTGGCTTCAGACACACCCATAACAGTGCACACAGCTCGGGAGGAGGATTCAGGAACTGGGTGAGACTACCATTTCTTTCAACATTAAAATGTAGACTAGAGGAGGTGGGGGCGGGTTTGGAAACTTTGCCAAAAATTCTGGGCCAATGAAAAATGGGAAACTGGTCGCTCTGCAGGACCCCCAACACCTACACACACTATCGTTTCTCCTCATCCACCCCTCTTTTCATTTATGCACTTATTTGTGTGGGTGTGGGTGTGTCCCTGTCTGAGCGGAAGCACAGGACTGAAGTTGGTCCCTGGCACCACGGTACAAGCTGGACACAACGAATGTGTGTCTGTAATCTCAGTGCTGGGAGCTGGAGATAGGAGAATCAGTGTTTTGTTAACAGCCAGTCTAGCCACATAGGTGACTTTCATGTTCAGCTGAGGGACCTCCCCTCTCAAAAAATGCGCTGGAAGCCAGGCATGGTGGCCCACGCCTTTAATTCCCCACCAACTGGGAGGCTGGGAGGCAGAGGCCGGCGGATCTCTGTAAACTGGAGGCCAGTCCAGTCTATAAAGGGAGTTCAAAAACAGCCAAGGATGTTAACACAGAGAAACGCTGTTTCAAAACACCAAACAAACAAAAACAGAAAACGAGATGGAGGGCAATAGAGCCAGATACACGATATGGACCTCCGGCCTTCACCCCTGCCACACAAACTGAAATACTAGCTCACATAACCAAAAAGATGGAATTCATCAGTTATAATCTGCATTTGGAGGAGAAAACAAACAAACAAACAAAAAAAAACCCCAAAAACCAGTTTTATTTAATGTGTATCTTAAAAGAGAAAACAAGCAGAACAGAGGAGATAACAGAGCCCGGAGAGCTCCCTGAATAAATACAAAGGAACAGAGGCAGGCAGGGCTCAGGAAGCAGTCTGAGAAAA